GTTTCGTATACCCCTAATTCTGAAATTTTTGTGACTTTTTGGGGCTCCTCGTGGAAAGCTTTGCGGTTAATAATAAGTAATCCAATCTTCCTCACGCTCTTTAGTTCATCTCGGTAGAATAAGGAAAAAGCCTATGTGGTGGGTTCGACTCCCACAGGAGCGCACATTAATTACCAATCAGCTGCTTTTCATTAAAGGAAGCGCATTCTTTTAGAACCTTTGACCAGCGGGTCGGTCGCATGTCCTCCCCTCGTAGAAGCTAGTGCCTAGAAGTGGACTTCCGCGCCGACGATTCCGCCGGTCCCAGAAAAACCGGGGTATCCAGGCGAGGCTTCTTTTTTATTGAATAAGAAAGGAGCTCGCCTAGATCCAAGTCTCCCCAATCCCAGTGCGGTGGGTCGGGCCAATCAAATTCCAGATTGAAGTCCGGTCGGCGACACCCGCTGCCCGACCTTTGCCAATCCCATCGTGGCTCTTTCGGCCAGTAGGGGTCAAAGTCCCAATCTTCCAAGTCAGGGAAACCACTATACCTTTTTGGGAAGTCGTGTACAACCGAAGGGCCAGCCTCATTATCATTTGCCCGGCCCATCTCTAGGGGGATTCAATCAGAACGCTAGAACCATAATCTTTCCTAGGAACAGCTTCTACGACGATAGGCGTAAGGGCATGATTAGTTTAACAAATCTCACTGCACACTTTCTATATATCTGTCTTCATTATCGGCTGCGTGCTATCGTAGATAGAGCAATGGGAGGTTACACAATTTCGAATCCACTATTACAGTAATTTTTTTTTCTTTATCCATGGGCAATGAGTTTCTAATGTATTGGGCGCCCTATTTATATACATTATTTTCGTATTAGCTTATCCGTTGCTCTGATCCGTCTGTCGTTCCTCTGTAGCATGCGGTCGAACCTACTTTAAAGATCCTGTGCAGCCCCAAACGCTGCTATGGCCTTCTTACCGTGAAAGTGAGGAGAGCTTAGAAGCAGCATAGCCTCGAACCAGGATTGAGAGTTTTTCTTCATCATCAGCAGCTTCTATACCCATCTAAGATGGAAAAGACAATGTTCGAACCCGGGGATCTTTGATCCTCCGCCCAATCTTGACTATAACTTTGGTAGTGACAGACTAGCCCGTATAAGGTACAACCTAAGACGGAACTGAACTATTTTCATCTCGATGTATTTTTTGTTTTTAAGTTCGCCAAGGCGAATTCACCCACTTTCCCGCTGTTGCAGAAAAGGAGGATGCTCTAACTGAGAATTCAAGGAAGACTTGTTCCAACGCCCATTTCTTGCTAATGATGTGATGATAGAAGCACTCTCTCTCATTTTTCTGTTTAGCCATGACGGACACCTTTATGTATGTAATTTTGAGACACCAAAAAGGAACAGAGGCTCAATCTAGATTTGTCACAACTACCAACCACCTCGAATTAAACCCAAGACCCTCTTCTAGAGCTGTCGGAACTAAAAGAAATAGAAAGGCGGCTCTTCAATTACCGGGGTACATCTTCATTCGCGATTCATGATAGATCAAGGGACTGACATAAACATACACAAGCGGACTAGCTTAGTCTTCTTTCTTTACTTAATTTTTCCTTATACGGTCAACACAATCTGAATTGTTCAGAGCCACTTTATAACGATTGCATTTTTCATGCTTGACTAGTACCACAGTCTATGCGTTGCCTTTTATCGAGAGAAAGACCAACCATCAATCACGAGATTTCTTGTTCTGATGTCTAAAACGTGCCAATTAAACTACTAGCAAGCGCTCGGATTCTTCTGATGTGCAACATTCTACATAGGAAAGTTTCTCCCTTAACAGGGGTGTCGTAAGACGCCTCTTTCTACCCATCCGCCCAAGTAAGATAGTTCAATCACTTTATTTGATAAGCAATAAGCCTTTTGCTACAGCTCCGGAGCTGCCAGCTATAACATATTACACCTACCTATACCTATTAGTTAACGGACGCTTTCACACCGTTGGTTGCTACTATTCATTTCATACTCGACGAGACTATCCTATTGCCGGTGTCTTAAACGAAGACGAAGCACGATCTTATTTATTTTAGACTTCCTTCAGCTTTCGACCTTCCCTAGGTAGATATCCATAAAGCAGCTTTTTCAACTTAAGTGAATAGATCCGTTATTTCCTATTGTAGTGGTTCCCTAGTTATCCATGTCATTTTCTTCGAAAGAATGTGTCCTGAAGCCATCGCAACTTACCAGACAAAGCCAAGACGAACCCCTCGGCAAAAGCAAGGAGCAAAGGATTTAACCATTAATGAATTTTGGTACTTCTTTGACATAGGTCACATTGATGGAGTTGGGCAGCTACGATCTCGTCATAGGCTTTTTGATAACTCGAACAAGGGAGATCATGACCAAGCCAAAGAAACTTTGGAGATAAGTGGTGAATGGGAGTCTGATTCTTCCTCCGAAGTACGTGTACCAACGGTCTTTATATCTGGTAAGTAGACTGCTTAATCTTCTTGGCTGCTTTTTTTTTTTTTTAGATTCGGAATTCAGCTCAACTCCTAAGGTTTCTCTGGACATGAAGAAAGTACATGTTGCTCTGGGTATCCCTTCAGAATATCGTGAGTGGCGCTGGCTGCTTAGTCCTCTTCGTAGGGAAAAAGGTTGGCTGCCCCTAAAATAGAAGATAAAACGGATCAAGGCAGATACGATGACTCGTCCTATCACTATGATGGAGCCTACTATCAACGAAGGTGGGAAAAACAAACATTCCCTGCCTGCTCAAGAGATGCCTGCTGAAAAGAAACTGAAGACTGCTCGCGGGGATTCTCCAGTTGCTCAAGAAATACCTGTTGAAAAGAAACCGAAGACTGCTTCCGCTATTCGCGATGGTTCATCAACTGTTCGCAAGTTTGTGATTGACTTGACTTCCTCTAATGGTGAGAAAGAAAGAACTGCTAGATTTGTGCCGATAACGTCTATTGTTCTGAAAGCTGCTAGC